TACTAGTACCAGTGACAGTAAAGTACTAGTTGTTATCCCATTCTGTCTTCTCATCCTAACACGCACTGGGGGAACATAACCGGTGTTGACACAGGAACACACTCGGTTAAAACAAAGCTCATAGTTAGAAACTTTTTAAATCGAAAGATACGCTTTCTTCAAGTATAAAATTTAAATAAGGTGTAATTTGACACTAGATGAGTACAATAAAAAAATTGAGAAATCCCGGTGCTTGTGAGCGGGAGACCAGGTCACGTAAGTAGTAGGCGTAAAAGTGATCAATAGACATATCAGCAGCTGCGCCTACTCTCCGTACTAGTTCACTGACAGGCTCAGACGATGATTGGGAATGGAAGTAGAGAGCGAGTTCGACGGCTCACTCAGTACACTTCCTTCACTAAAAACAATCTGACGCGCCTGAAGGTCTCACGGTTCGCCAAAAGCCGTGACTTGGAGGGTTGCCAACTGACGGGATAATTGGAACCGTGGGAGGAAGGGGTTGCATATGCGTCCCAGTGCCTTATCACCGAGGGACGATCACTTCTGTTGCTATGTCCGTACGATATAAGAAACCCTTCACAACCTGGCCCTCGCGGGCAGTTAGTTCATACTAGCAAATTCCGGACGCCGTAATAGATTAGACAAGCATCCTAATCCAAGCGTTGACAAATCAAAGATCTCAGACGGGATTTTGTTGAGCAGGTAATTGGAAAGTCCACTGTGCCGCCGTGACTGGGCATTTTTTACTTCTTAGAAAGGCCGTCTTAGCATGCGTCGCCAATAGGGCTCACGTCACGGTATCTAGCATTTCAAACTTCCAGTCTTGGAACGGAGCACCGCGACAGCATACTTAAAGCCTGTGGGTACAGTTTGAAGATGTCATGCTCAAATTGGCAGAACACTTCTACAGTGGTCAGTAGATGCTTTGTTGCTCAAAAGCTCTGCCATCGCGTAGTGGACAATCGGTTGAACTCGGGCACCGTAACTCCATCGAAATGGATGGCATTCGAGGGAGTCAAAACTTATAGGGTTCGGAGGTAGAGCAAAATGTCACCCCCACCGAGATATCATGTCTGACGGTGAGACTACCGCAGCACCTTTGTTGTCGTTCTTTATTACGACAAACAACGAATTTATACGAACAAAGAAAAGGGCCAGAATATGTGCAAAACCCTATGCGGTTGCATTTTCTGGTCTATATGAGCGAAATTGTTCAAATTCCTTCTCAAAGCATGCCGTTTGACTTCCTCTGTTGAGGCTAAGCCTATACTGAACAACGATAGACGATAACTCAGGAAGACTGATCAAACAAGTGTGGGAAGGCAATAACCACTGCTTTCTCAGGGTAAAAGGTTCCGGGCTGACACACCCCAAAAGAAGAGTATAGTCGGAAAAACCCATGTAAGAATGCCCTCAAGTTAATATTCAAAGGTCTTTGTGCAAACTAAAATCGACGGGGCAGAAGAGAAACCAGCAGTAGGTACAAAGAAGGTCAAATCAGCTTACAATGGTTGGCATGAATTCGCAGCTTTCTGCATCCAGTTCATTTTCAGTGACCCTCACGCTGTT